GGAAGAAGGGGAGAGTGAGAGTGGCAGTAGACTGGACCAGCCGCCTCCCTGCCCCAATAGCAAGCCTGGCTCGAGCTCAGACGCCAGACCCAGAGGACGCTTTTTTTGTCTGGCACAGCTATATTCTGAAACCATAGGGGGTACAGTTGAGGTTTGTGTCCCAAGAGAAACACGTTTCCCTGCTCCATCTGAACTCAGGGCAGAAAGCCTAGAGAGGGAATGAAATGGCAACGAGGGCAAAGAAATCCCAGTTCCCCAGAAGGATGCACTCACTGGCAGCCTTGGGTTCCCTCCCAAACTTAGCCACAGCCCCAGATTCCTGGAGATGGCCCCTCACTCACTCTTCTTGCAGGAGGTGCATTTGCACTCTTTGCACTTGCAGGAGCCGGCGCACGTGCAGGAGACACCTGCAAGGAAGAGAAAAAGGCAGTGGGCAGTGAGTGAGATGCAGAAGGTACAGCAGCGGGTCAATGAGTCTCCAGTGCCCCCTCCTCTGTGCAGGGCCAGCCCTCAGAGCTCCTTTCCCACTCAGGACAGAGGAACAGAAGCCGCATGTCCTCTCCACTCACGCTGGGAAGGGCAAGCACCTTCCTGTTTACCCCACCAGGAAGCTCCCAGGTGCAAACCCAACCCAGGAATACTGAGATTGCGAGCTAGAACCTTCTGTCCTGAACCCTGAAGACTCAATATCTCCAGCCCCCCATCCACCTTGATTGCTCGTAGCCTGGCAGAGCACTGGAGCCCAGCCAGCAGGACCCTGACCAACTGGGTGATGTGGGGCAGTTCAGCCTTGAGCCTCAGTATCCTTAACTCAGATGTAGAGGCCCAGGGAGGAGGGCAGTGCTCTCAGGGGCGTGATCAGGAAGAAAGCACCTAACGAAGTAAAGGAGTCCTCTTCCGCTCAGAAGTTAAAGTGCGACCTCCTAAAACCCAGAGATCCTCTGTACTGGAGCTGGGAAATGGGGATCCCAGGGCGCAGAGACGCGCTTCCTTTACCAGCGGTGCAGGAGCAGTTGGGGTCCATTTCGAGCCAAGGAGATGCTGGAGCTCCCACCAAAGACTCGAACAGGAGGTCAGGCAGCTGGAATGCGCGCTGGAACCCTGCAGCCGGCTGCTCCTCTTTTAGACCGAGGTGGGGCCGGGTGCAGAGGTCCCGCCCCGCGCTTGCTCCCGCCCCTCTGAGTGCGCGCTGCCCACGTTCCCGGGCTGGGCTGTGCGCAGCAAAAGAGCCGGGCGCATCATACCCTGAGCTCTGCGCCGTGCTCAGCGTGGGACCGCCTCCTTTTTTCGGCAGCTCGCGCGGGAAAGGGCTGTGCGGCTGGCTTCCCAGAGGTCCACGCCGGCTTCCCAGTTTCCCCGCGGTTGTTTACCAGCTTTCTCCCCGCGTGTTCCGGGACCCCAGCCTTGGCGTCGCTGTCTTCACTCCACCCCTCCCACCGTTTTCAGCTGGGCCTGTCCCAGAGCCCGTGTGCAGCCCTCTTGCTCCCGTCCCGGGATCGGCTGAGTGCCGAGCGGGGCGCGTGCGGTAGCGAGCGAGTTGTGTGCAGAGCACCCGCCACCGATGTGGCTTTCGTTTCACCTCGTCCCCCGCCTTGCCTGTCCCTGTCTACACTGCGGTCCCTCGGACCCCCTCCTCCGTACACAGCAACACGGGGAACACGGGTCGGCCTCTCTCTCCCGTCCATTCTCCTCGCCTGAGAGGATGTGTGGGCACATTTGTCCAGGTCCTCGTTTGCAGATAAGTCTCCATGCTCCCCACAGCCTAACGGGCCACCACAGTACCGCCTGGCAGTTCTGGACATGTGGGATGTCCCCAAAGAGAGATGACTTCAGATGATATGCAGACCGTGCTTTACATTAAAAAGCAAGATGGGTGAGGTGGCAAGAAGCTGTAGTCCCAGCTACTTAGGAGGCTGAGGTGGCAGGATCACTTGAGCCCAGTAGTTCGAGTCCAGCCTGGACAACATACAGAGTCAACGTCTTTTAAAAAATACAATTAAAGGCCGGGCGCGGTGGCTCACGCCTGTAATCCTGGCGCTTTGGGAGGCCGAGACGGGCGGATCACGAGGTCAGGAGATCGAGACCATCCTGGCTAACACGGTGAAACGCCGTCTCTACGAAAAATACAAAAATTAGCCGGGCGCGGTGGCGGGCGCCTGTAGTCCCAGCTACACGGGAGGCTGAGGCAGGAGAATGGCGTGAACCCAGGAGGCGGAGCTTGCAGTGAGCTGAGATCGTGCGCCACTGGACTCCAGCCTGGGGAACAGAGCGAGACTCCGTCTCAAAAAGAAAAAAAAAAAAAAAAATTAAAAAGCAAGAGATACAGTTATTTCTCTTCAGTATAGCTGACTATTGCATAACGTAGAGTCTATACCAGTCCCTTTTTAATCTCTTTCATTCTTTGAATCCTCACAGCAATACTAAATGGAAATACTATCTATGAACCCGTTTTGCTAATCACAGGACTACAAAGAAAAGAGTCCAAGTAACTGGCTGGTCTTCACAGAGATAAAAAGCTGTGCACTGATTTAAATCCAGCCAGCCTCTTAAAGGGAAGTGTCCATGATAAAGCCTTCCTTTGGCCCAGGTATATCATCAACACTTTTGTACTGCTGGAAATCTTTTAAACAACAGGGGCTGGGCAAGGTGCCTCACACCAGTAATCCCGGCACTTAGGAAGGCTGTGGCAGATGGGTCACCTGAGGTGAGGTGTTGGAGACTAGCCTGGCTAACATGGTGAATCCCCGTCTCCGCTAAAAATACAAAAATTGGCTGGACATGGTGGCAGTCTCCTGTAATCCCAGCTCCTTGGGAGGCTAGACAGGAGAATCATTTGAACCTTGGAGGCAGAGGTTGCAGATTGCGCCATTGCACTCCAGCTGGGTGGCAAGTGCAAAATTCTGTCTCAAAAACAAAAACAACCAAAAAATCCCCAAATAAGCAACAGGAAGCTACCAGCTCTACCACGATTGCAAAAGCAATCCGTAAGTGTAATACACACACACACATATTAATTTGGGGCTATCTTCCATGTGTGGCACAAGATTGATTTTCATTTTTTTCTGGCAGAAAAGAGTTTGCTCTTCATAAAAGTATGTGTAAGAAAATAATCATTTCTGTATAAAATATTAACTAAAAGATGGTGCAAGTAGTAACAGAAAGGGCAGTCATTCTTCTGTATCCGACATGAAATTTGAAAGAAGGGCAAATTCAGCTTGAGTTTGGGAGGAATTTCCAAAGATTCAGAGCCCAGTCACAACAGGGAGCTCTCAGGGGTCAGCGAGTGTCCTGTCAGTGACACTGGGCAGACCAAGCCTGATGGTTCCTTGCGGGGATGTGCTGGGCAGTGCTGCTCAGTGGGCAGTGCTCACTGGGGCCATTTTGCTGTTTCCTTTCTTTTCTTTTTTTGAGACAGCATCTCAGTTGCCCAGGCTGGAGTGCGGTGGTGCAGTCTTGGCTCATGGCAACCTCTGCCTCCGAGGTTCAAGTGATTCTCATAAGCTTCTGCAGGCTGTGTGTGGTGCTGGCATCTGCCTCTGGTGAGGGTCGCAGGAAGCCTACATTCCTGGCAGAAGGCCAACAAGGATGAGGCACATCTGGTGGAGAGACAAGAAAAAAGAGAGAAAAAGGGAGGGTGTCTGGCTCTTTTAAACAGCCAGCTCAGGAGTGAAATACCGGAGGAAGAACTCACACTTCACCATGGGATGGCACCAAGCCATTCTTTAGGGATCTGTCCTCATGACCCCAAAACCTTCCACTAGTTCCCACCTCCAATATTGCAGGTCACATTTTGACATGAGATTTGGCAGTAACGAAACATCCAAATCATAGCACCCATGTAGGATTCGAGAAACTGGGGAGTTGGGTTCCAGCACTGTAGCCACTTTTTTTTTTGAGATGGAGTCTCTCCCTGTTGCCCTCATTTTCCGCCCTGTGCAATGGTGGATTTCGGCTCACTGCAACCTCTGTCTCCCAGGTTCAAGCGATTCTCCTGCCTCAGCCTCTCCAGTAGCTGGGATTATAGCTACGTGCCATCACGTGCAGCTAATTTTTTATATCTTTAGTGGAGACAGGGTTTCACCATGTTGGCCAGGCTGGTCTCAAACCCCTGACCTCGTGATCCGCCCACCTGGCGTCCCAAAGTGCTGGGATTATAGTAGCCACTTTTTTTGTTTTTTTATGAGATGGAGTCTCTCTCTGTCGCCCAGGCTGGAGTGCAGTGGCACGATCTGGGCTCGCTGCAAGCTCCGTCTGCCAGGTTCACGCCAGTCTCCTGCCTCAGCCTCCTTAGTAGTGGGACTACAGGCGCCCGCAACCACGCCCGGCTAATTTTTTGTATTTTTTTTTTTAGTAGAGACGGGTTTTCACCCTGTTAGCCAGGATGGTCTCGATTTCCTGACCTCATGATCCGCCCACCTGGCCTCCCAAAGTGCTGGGATTTCAGGCGTGAGCCACCGCGCCCGGCCTGTAGCC